GTATCAGTCTAGAGATGATTGATTATTAGTATTCATGGGTGATTTTGTTTTGACTTCTTTCTTTTAGTGTTTTAAAACCAGGCAATTCCTGATTTGGAATACTGATTAGTGGGGGGAATTGATCAGGATGAATTGGTTTTGGGATGATATATATATATATATATATATATGAGTAATCACACCTATGTGTTTGTAAGATTTCAAAGGATCACCATTAAGTTTGGCACAAATCTGTAGAAAAATCAAATCCCACATCCATGTTCATGTGATAACTTTTCTAGAGGTATGTGTCAAATTTAATGGTAATTCTTTGGGGTCTTATATACATGGGTGTCGGAGGGTATCATAAGATCATTACTATATATATAGAGGGAAAAAATCCTGTTAGCCCAATGACGTACTACTATAGTAAATGCTAATGAATATAGGCCAATTTGACAATTCTGGATGTCCAGTAGTGTTTGAATTTTTTTTTTTTTACAAATCAGAATGATTTGAAAAGTGGAGTTTGTGTACATAAAAAATAGGTGAATCTTCAAACAATATAAAAAAAATTTTACATGAAAAATATTGACCAAAATACCCTTGTAAAGTTTTGGAGGTATTTTAGTCAATTGTTTTTGCGGATAATTTTTTTATATTTTTATTAGGTGTGCTTTGATGAGAATAATATATACGTAAAATTTTAAGTGATTTGAATTTACAAAAAAAAAATTTAAAATTCAAGCACGAAAAGAAGTCGTGATCGTCAGATCGGCCCAGATTCAATATAGGTCATTGGCGTTTACTGTAGCAGTCGGCTAGTGGGCATACTTAATTCACTCCTATATATATATATAAGAAAAGTCTTCTCAATGCCTATAGGCGAAGATGAACAGTGATTTTGCCTAATTTCATCACCGTCCAAAGTTTATTATACAGTCACGATTGTTCGATAATGTTTCATTTTTTATTTTTTTTACAGATCAGAATGACCTTAAATTTAGAGCGTGTATACATCTTAGTGAAGTGCACTTAATAAAAATATAAACAAAATAATTTGTAAAAATAAAATTGACCAAAATACCCTCAAAATGTTTTGGGGGTATTTTGGTTAATTTTTTCATGTAAAATATTTTTTTGATATTTTTCATAGATTCACCTATTTTTTATGAACATATGCTCCAAATTTCAGGTCATTCCGATTTATAAAAAAAAAATGAAATACTACCAGACAATCGTAATCGTGAGATGAACTTTGAATGATGAAAAGGGTAAGCGAAATCCCTATTTATTTTCGCCTATAGACGTTTTGTTGTATCTTTCATATATAAAAAAAATTTATCTAATGGTTTTTTAGATTCCCCTTACTCCGTATCGTGTAAATCCCTATTTTACTTTTTATTTTATTTATTTTTAAAGTATTGTTTGGATCATCGTTTTGGACTGGTCTGCATTCCCGAACGAATAATGAGACGCAAATGCATGGAACGACGATCCACCTCACCGAACCAAGTTTTGAAACAGTGGTTCCTTTCAGAGCAATCCAAGGGGATGACAGATGAACAATTTGCCCCTGGTGAGGAAAGTACTAAATTGACATCTAAATGCTAAGGCTGCTAGCATGAAGAGGTCAAAATGCCTATACCGATGTTTTGGCGAGCTAACTCAGAACTACCTCGAGCTGACTCAGAACTGGTACGTACCAGGGTGATTCTTGCTCGGCATCCAAATGCTAAGGCTGCTAGCGTGAAGAACTCAAAATGCATTTATATATACTGATGTTTGAAAAGTTGGTGAGCTGACTCAAAATTACCTCGGGCTGCCAACTGAGAATTGTCTAGAGCAGTGTTTGTAAAATCGAATCAGAACGGTTAATCGCACATGGGCCTTGAAGCGATTTAACCGGCCTAATCGGTAAACCGGCCGATTCAACCGCTCTCACCGGGCAAGTCCCCGAACGACTAAAAAAATGTTAAAAACTAAAAAAGATACAAAATAAGTCTACTAAAATATGAAAAGCATATAAAGAATTTGATTAAAACAAAACACACTCAAATGAAGTTGAAAATTAATGAAAAAAAAGGATTTTAACGAGTCGATTTGTGCGTAGAGCTATTTTCAAATTTTTTTGAAAAGATAGGAAAATATAAAAGTGAGCATCAATGACCAAAATATTTTTTAATTTTTATCATAATGTAAATAATATTAAAATAGTGTTAAAAAAATCGACTTGACCAACTCTTTATTTAAAAGAAAATGATCTTTTTTTTTAAAAAGAAAATGATATTTTCTTTTAAAGAAACTGATCTTTTCTGATCTTTTTTTCTAAAAAAGTAATATTTTTTTTAAGACAATGAAATGTTTTTTTTAAAGAAGATGAAAAAAATTTATGTTATATATAATATAAGCTCTTATTTTTAATTGCATATGGTTGGTGGGTCTAGTAATAAATGGCATATGGTTAGTGGGTGTCAAGTAATAAAGGACTTCATTCAAAGAGGATTTTAGGCGAGTAAATATTTTTTGAACCGACGAAATCTTAAATCTTATTTTTAGTTGCATATGGTTAGTGGGTCTAGTAATAAATGGCATATGGTTTAGTAGGTGTCACTAGGCAAGTAAATATTTTTGAACCAACGAAATCAATCTATTTTTAATTGCATATGGTTAGTGGTTTTAGTACTATAAATGGCATATGGGATATGGTTGGGGGGGGGGGGGGGGGGGGATCACCAACGCTGACCAATACACCATTTTACTGCATTTGATATAAGTTTGAAGTAGTATACTATTTAACGTTTTAAATATGGGTGACCACCAAAACCGGCCAAAATTAAAATTGGTGTTAGCCGGTTCCGATCTAACCGGCCGGTTAGCGGTTATATCGGCCGGTTTTGCGAACACCGGCCTCGAGCTAACTTTGATCTGCTAGGTACCAGGGCGACTATCGTTCCAACTCTGGCGAAAATAGCAGTTTATCTGGTGAAAAGTTAAACTAAAATGGGGTTTTGAGGTTCTTTTTTTGTTTTTTCTTGTTTAAAAAATTGATCAATAATTGATCTAATGCTATTTTTTTCCCGAAATCAATTCATCTCCTTATTTGTTATCTAGTTTATTTGGATCGATTTGAGATCTTGACAAGGTTCCTCATAAAAAATCGTGTTTTCAATTATCCATTCTTTCGATTCTTAACCAAAGAACTTGAAGCTTGTTGCAACTAATCGTGTTTAGGCCTTCCATCAAAGACGAACATCAATTTGTTGAATAGAGAACAAAAAAAAAGAAAAAAAAGAAATAGGGGTACTCTCTCTCTCTCT